GGGAAAAGTCTCTTTCTGTGGTGAAAGAGAGAAGCTAGGTCTCAACCCCAGTTCCCAAGTGCGGCCCCATGGTGGTAGCTGCTTCCTGAGCTTCTAGCCCACAGAATGAGGAGGAATCGAGTGGCTGATGAGGGGGGCGATTGCAGGAATCTCTTGCTTTGCCCGTGCCTGGATCTGGGTCACGGTTCTGAGGGACGGTCCTGGGGCAAGGAGGAGCGCTGGCATGGTTGAGATTGTACTGGCAGTGTAAAGGGAATCCTCATCACAGTTCCGAGACAGAAAAGAGCACTTGTGGTCACTCATAGACCAGAGCACAGGCCAGGAAAAGAGCAAACACCTCGCCCCTTATCACACCACCTTGGAAGAACTGAAAATTTACAGGTCCCTAGAAGTATCACTGAAAGCAGCTGTACAAACCTCTGAAGCTTGGGACAATACATTCTCCACACTGGAAGCAGACCTCTATCTTAATAAAGAGTTTATAACTCACACAATTGGCCAGGATCATGACCAAACTCTCAAGAAGTGTCAGACCATAGAATCTTTTTTTGGTAACAAAGAATATTAAAACATACAACCAGAAGAAGAAAACAAAGTCAAAGCTCCTACATCCAAAGCCTCCAAGAAAAATATGAATCAGTCCCAGGCCTTGGAAGAGCTCAAAAGGGATTTTGAGAAGCAAGTAAGAGAAGTAGAGGAAAAACTGGGAAAAGAAATGAGAGTGATGCAAGAAAATCATGAAAAACAAGTCAACAGCTTGCTAAAGGAGACCCAAAAAAAATACTGAAGAAATTAACACCTTAAAAAATAGCCTAACCCAAATGGCAAAAGAGGTCCAAAAAGCCAATGAGGAGAAGAATGCCCTAAAAAGCAAAATTGGCCAAATGGAAAAGGAAGTCCAAAAGACTACTGAAGAAAATACTTCCTTAAAAATTAGAATAGAGCAATTGGAAGATAGTGACATTATGAGAAATCAAGACACTGTAAAACAAATCCAGAAGAATGAAAAATTAGAAAATAATGTGAAATATCTCATTGGAAAAACAACTGACCTGGAAAATAGATCCAGGAGAGCGAATTTAAAGATTATTGGACTATCTGAAAGCCATGATCAAAAAAAAGAGCCCAGACATCATCTTTCAAGACATTATCAAGGAAAACTGCCCTGATATTTTAGAACCAAAGGGCAAAATAGAAATTGAAAGCATCCATTGATCTCCTCCCGAAAGAGATCCCCAAAGGAAAACTCCTAGGAGTGTTTTAGCCAAATCCCAGAGATCCCAGGTCAAGGAGAAAATATTACAAGCAGCCAGAAAGAAACAATTCAAGTATCGTGGAAACACAATCAGGATAACACAAGATTTAGCAGCTTCTACATGAAGGGACCAGAGGGCATGGAATGTAATATTCTAGAGGGCAAAGGAGATAGGATTACAACCCAGAATCACCTACCCAGAAAAACTGAGTATAATCCTTCAGAGGGAAAAATGGTTATTCAGTGAAATAGAGGACTTTCAAGCATTCTTGATGAAAAGAGCAGAGCGGAATAGAAAGTTTGACTTTCACATACAGGACTCCAGTGGAACACGGAGAGTTTTGAAAAAGGAATGTTGAAGTGATCTACAATTATTAGATTACTGTCTTCTTGTACTTTGTCCAGATGTTCCTTAAAGAGATTAGATATGCTATTTTGTACACACATATTTAATAATGGTAGTATTACTTTGTTTATAATACTGTAAAGATAATATTAAAGTTTTCCTCTTTCTCCTGGTTAAAAAAAAAGAAAAGAAAAGAACATTGACTCTGGACTCAAAGGGCTGGTATTCCAATACCACCTCTGATGCTTACTGCCTATGTGACCTTGGGAAACTTACTCCACCCCCCTGTGTGGCCTCAGTTTCCTCATTTGTAAAATGAAAGTGTTGGATCAGCTGGCCTTTAAGGTTCCTTCCTTCCAGCCCTATAGGTGTGATCCTATGATGACTCCAATTATTTATGTTTGTCTTTATTCCTGAAAAGAATGTTTTCTAATTGTATTCATAAAATTTTTGTGATGTCTTGGTAGGTGGACACCAAAATAGTATACACATTCTGTAGCTTTTTTGAATGAAATTTATATTTTCACCTTGTGGGGGTTTTTGTTGGTAATATGATGAATATACAATAATTTTGTGGATTCATTTTACATTTTGCTACTTTGATTAAGTTATAAATTGTTTTATTCAGTTTTGCTGAATATCTAGAATTCTTTTCATGACACATGGATGGCATGACCATCATGTCATCTGAAAGAGGTAATAATTTTTCTCCATTTTGCCTGTGGTTATTCCTTCAATTTATTTTTCTTTTCTTATTGCTATAGATAGCATTTCTAGAGCTATATCAAGTAATAGCAGTGACAATAGACATCCTTGATTAGTGGATAGAGTGCTGGACTTGGAGTCAAAGTATCTATTCAGCTCCTATTTTTCATTAAAAATGATGGAAAGTCCTTTATTCTGTAAAAAGAAGATTCATTCTTTCTCACAGAGGATTAAACTCGGTTTTTCAGGATAAGTTGTTATTGGATGCATGCTTTTTTTTCCCTTTGTCTTTTGAAATAACCTATTCCAAAGTTTTCTTACCTTGTTGGTAGTTGCCACTTTTTCTTAACTGTTGCTTACAGTATTTTTTCTTTGACTTAGAAAACATTCTTTTCTTTGACTATCACATTCCTATGTGTGGAAGTAGGACCAGTGGAGGGTGGAGGGTGTTGAAACTCCCAGGGCTCTTGGGCTAATGAGCATGTCAGTGGTAGTTGGTCGGCAGTTGGTATTGGGGAAATTAGGCCCCATCTCCACAGGAGTTGCTTTCTGGGATGATGGTTATAGTGGCTGGGCTGGAAGCATGACTGGTGTTCTGGAGATGTACCACTGCCAGAACTCTTGAGTTCAAGGTCCTTGGATTTGGCATCTGAAGGAAGGTAGTGGTGGTCATTTAATTTGCCCGACACATATCACTTCATCTAGGCTGACTTGCGTGCTCAATAGAATAGCCTCTTAGCATGGTCTGTCTTCTAACAAGCTCTCTCTCTTCTCTCTCTCTCTCTCTCTCTCTCTCTCTCTCTCTCTCTCTCTCTCATCAGTCCATTCTTCATGTAGTTGAATTGGAAAAAAAATGAATCAATGAGCCTGCTAAAGCAATCTTTCTAATGCATGTCTGATCAAGTCACTTGCCTACTCAAAATGCTTCAGTTCCCACTTGAGTATCAAGTAAAAGTTATACTCTTTAACTTGGCTTCTGGAGAGGAAGTTGTGGTATAGCAGATAGAGGGCTAACTTTGGAGGCATGGGGACTTGGGTTCGCATCTTGCCTTTGATATTCCTGACTGTGTGGCCAGTGGCCAGTCACTTGGCCAGTCACTTAGCCACTCAGTGTCCAGGCAACCCTCCAAGACCAGAAGTTACAGCTGAGTTGCTGAGATGTTTTCATTTAGGGGATTTCCTTCCTCCTAGTTCTCTACAGCAGGGGTGTCAAATTGAAATAGAAACAGGCCACAAATTGTACATCAGGATTCCTGCAGGCCACACATTGAGTGATTGAGAACTACACATGTTTATACAGTTTTTTAATTAAGAAATTAACACACTAAAATCATACAGGAACTACATTTTAATCTGATTTAGGCTGTACATGGGAGTGTTGTGGACTGCATGGGACAACAGCTTTGTTCTACAGCAATGAAATCACAGATCCAGATTCTCCTTCCTCCCACCCCACATAAAAGAGCAAGTGAGGAGATGTACACAAGGCAAATTCCACACCAGGAGTTTCTCCACAAAATAAGAACTGTTATTTTTAGAGTCCTTTACTGTTTGCAAAGTGATTTATATATGTCATCCTCCTCCTCATCATTGTCACTATCATCATCATCATCACCACCACCACCACCACCAATAAATATTTATTGAGCACCTACTATGTGCTAGGCACTGTGCTAAGCACTGGGTATACAAAGAAAGGAAAAAAAACCCTCATCTCTTCCCTCAGAGAGCTTGCAGTCTAATGGAGGGAGACAATGTGCAAGCAGCTAAGTATGATCAAGGTATGTGCAGGGTAAGTTAGAGGGAATCTCAGAGTGAAGACATCAGAAGTAAGGATGGGGGGTCGTTATTTCATCTGGTCCCCACAACAACCCTACAAGGTGGATGCTATTATTCTCATTTTACAGATGAAGAAACCGAAACTGAGAGGTTACATGCTTTGCCCAGTGCCAACAGCTAGTAAATGTCTGAGGTAGAATTCAAACATATCATTGAAATAGCCAGTTAACACCAAAAGCTTGCATTCAGGGCCCTTCACCGTCTACCTCCAGCTCTTCTTTCCTGTCTTACTTCCATGATGTCTTTCCCGATTGCCCTCATCTAGAAGGGACCTATCCCTTCTTTAGTATTTCATACTTCTCAATCTGTCCTGTCCTACATACAGCCACATTTTAACTTAGAGATATGTGCATGTTCTCCTCAGATCCTTTGATTGTGGAATGGAAGTAATTCTGTGTTCTTGAAAGGTATGTTGAGGAAATGCAAGTTCTGATTTGCCCCCAAAATCTGGGAAAGACTTTAGGCATGGTTCCAGTGAAAGAGTGTATGTCATTGTCTGAGAGATAAGTTATCTTCAGAGTACCTCATCATTGGGCTGGTGCCATGATGAAGCTTTTTTTTTTTTTTAGCCACAGCAACTCTGGAAGACCATCTCCTAAAGTCTGGAGGAGTTGTATCTGTGGATCCTTGATTACAGATCCTTCACATGTTGAAATATAATCTATTTGTGGACATTTCTTTCACAAACTCCTTGAGGACAGACACTCTTCTGTTTCTGTCTTTGCATCCTTAGTACTGAATATCATTTCTTACATATGGTAGGAACTCTAAAAAAATGCTTATTGATTTGAATTGAATCTCGTACAAGTTTCTTTATCCTTTTTGAAGCCCCCAGGGTTAGATCACAGAGTGTGTATGACCAGAGAAGAGTTCATGGAGAGGATGCCAGAAGTCCTTGGCCACGGGACCAAAGAAGAGTATGGGGAGCTGTTTGATAAAGTTGATGTGGCCCGGGATGACAGCATCACCTGGGACAAGCTAATCTCCTTGATACTGTTGAACCTCAATGAGAAAGATGAGCAGGCCAAATCTGCTGTGATTCCCCAGTGGAAGGAACCTCAGCTTCTCCCAATGATACACAAAGACGCCATCCAAAAAGTCATCTTCTTGAAAAGTTCAAGCCGTTACCTGACTGTAAGCAAGGAAGGTTTGCTTGGGGTTTGGGAAGAGAATTTAAAACTTCAAGAAAAAGTTCCTATAACTTCAGATGCTATCAAGCTAAAAAACCTGTGGGGACAAGCCTAGTCTCTCTGGAAAATGTAAACAAGGTACAAAGATTTTTTTTTAATGACTTCAAGGCTTTTTATATGACAGGATGAGGTGAATAAAACCTTAGCCTAATAAATTGGTATAGGATAATGCTATGGGGAGATGGGCACTTATCTAATAGGCAGAATGTAATGGAATGACCACCAGATTTTAAGCTAGAAAATATGGGAGCATCATGGTATAGGGGAAAGAGCCTTGGATTTAGAGCTGAAGACTTGAGTTCAAATCCAAGCTCTGCCATTTACTAGCTGTGTGATCTTAGGCAAGTCACAAAAACTCTCTAGGACTCAGTGTCCCCCAATGTAAAGTGAGAGGGTTAAACTGGGTGATCTGTATGGTCTCTCTCAGCAAGCCTAGGATCCTATGAAACCTCGGTTCAAGGTCTGGATCTGTTCCTTCCTAGTTACATGACCTTGGGAAAGTTGCTTCTACTGTCTAAGCCTCAGTTTCCTCACTTGTAAAATAAGGATAATAAGGTCTGATTTACTTGTCCTGTAGAGTTGTTGTGAGGTACAAATGAGATAGGGACTGGACCTGGGATTTCATTGATAGAGGGAATGCTCACACTGAGAAACTTCCCTTACTGATATAGGTCAGTTTACAGTCTTAGGGGCTTGCTTAAGATATGAGGCATTAAGTAACTTGTGAGTGTACGTCAGAGACAGGACTTGAACTGACTTTTATGACCCTGAGGTCCACTTGATAGTCATTGTCATGAGGTCCAATAAGAAAATGAATGAAAACTACTTTAACCACCTTAGAGGCCATATTATAGATGCTCACTGGAGAGCCATGACCTGATCTGCAGAGACTGACCCTGGAACTGCAAGTTATTTCATTTCCCAGATGATTGAAGCTTTCTCATTTATAAATGACACATTGGAAATTGATCCAAATCAGAGTACTCTCTTGCCCAGATGAGGCTACTTTCCCTTTACTAGACCAAGCAAAGGCCCTGGTTCATGTATTGTAGATAGCAGGGTTATGTAAATACAAAACAACCCAAGGGCTCCTTCGAGAATGAAATATGCTTATAAGATTTGGGAATATTCAAGAGTGGTTTAATTAAATCATTAGCCGCTTTTTGTCACCATAGATTATAAAATATAGGTTACAGAATGTGAATGGGAAGGGACCTCAGAGGCTTTCTAGATCATCATTCTCTGAAAAAGAATACCCTCTACGTCTTCTCCCCAGCCCTTGTCCCTTTACTAAGTCTGGGCTTGGAAACTAGGTCTCTTTGTTTTGGACCCAAATACTCTTGCTACTATACCAATTGCTTCAGAGTATGTTCAGGTAGATTTTAGACTAGAATAATGCTGAAGATCCTTACTTTTGGAGAACTAAGAGATTACCAAGAAGTGTGGAATTGTCTCTTATGGGCAGAATTTTAGAATTTTGATAGTCTTAACAAATATCTGAAAAAGTTTTTCTCCTACACTATGGATAGCTAGATAGCTAGATAATAGATAGATGAAGAGATAATTAGGTAGATGATATAGAGATAGGTAGATAGATGATAGAGAGGTAGAGATAGGTAAATAGAAAGATATAGAGAGAAAGATGGATGGAGAGACAGACAGACAAATAAAGCATTTTATTCGGCAGTTACTGCATCACAGGCACTGGCCTAAATACACCTGAAAAGAAATTATCCAGTTTTTGCTTAAAGACCTCAAATGAAGAGGAAGTCATTCAGTAAGTGATAAGGATGCTGGATTGTGAGGTCAGAGAACCTGGATTCAAACCTGTCTCCTGCAGCTGACCACTTGTGTGATGATAAGGAGGTCATCTAATGCCCTGAGCCTCACTTTCCTCTTCTGTACAGATGAACGAGTTAGACTGTTGTTGTTTGTCCTTCAATCTCGCGGAGGGCCATGATATCAGGCAGGTGATCCATAACTTCTGGAGTCTCTTCCAGCTACAGGGCTGTGATCTCTTGACCTCCCAAAGCAGCCATGCCACTTTAGGCTAGCTCAAATGATTAGGGATTATTCCTTATCCCATGTCGAATTTGACCTTTCTGCTATTTCTACCCATTGCTCCCCAGAGACCAACCTGAATAGTCTTATCCCACTTTCACACGGCAGCCCTTCAAAACTTGAATGGATCCATCATGGCCCAGCACAAGTTTTCTCTTCTTCAGGTTAAACTCACCCATTTCAGGATCACAAGAGACCCCAGGGGTCATTTAGGCCTGCCTCTGCAATACCCAGCTCTGTGGACTAGATTTTTTGGTTACATTCAGGCATACTGAATTAAACTGACAACTCTCTCTCCTTCCCTGCCCTTCCAACCCTAGATAGCTGTGGCTTCCACAAGCAAAGAGATTTGTTTCTATGACCTGCTCTCTAATAAAGAATTCCCTTGTCAATACAAGCTGCAAGGCCTTAGGAGCACACCTGCGTGCATGCACTATTGGTATAACCCCCAGGATGCTAATGAATCAGTGCTCACCTTTGGGGACATAGCTGGAAAGGTAAGTGAAGGCTCTTTGGGTGAGACAGAAGGTTATAGATTTAACATACACACACACACACACACACACACACACACACGCACACACACACAAAATCTGTAACAGAAAAGAAGGTTGGAAGTGGGATGGTGGCTGGACACTCCAGCATGGAACAGCATTAGAGATGATAAAATCCCAGGTGAGTGTTTGAAATGGAAGATTTGTATTGGTTCACAATTACTGTCTCCTGATGTCTAGCCCTATAATGATGTGTAATTTCCACAAGGTTTGCAGAGCATCACAGAGTTGGAAAGGACTCTGGGGAGCCCTTTGAATCCAATTCATACCTAAACTCATTCCTAAAAAGAATGACTTCTTAGAATTCCTTTTCTTCTTGCTAAATTTGGCTCAGTGTTCCAGTCCAGCAAGAATTTTCTAGAATGATTTTACCATTCAATGTGTTAGCTATCCCTCTAAGCTTTGTTTCACTTCCAAATTTGATCAGCATGCATTTATGCCTCTTTCTGTAAGTCATTGGGAAAAAAAAAGCTAAGTGGCCCAGGCCTCGGAGGTTTTCTCAGGGTGATGTGTCGAATAGAGTACTAGATTTGGAGTCAGGAAGACCTGAGTTCAAATCTAGCTTCAGACACTTATAAGCTGTGTGACCCTGGGCAAGTCACTTAACCTTTTTCTCCCTCAGTTTCCTCATTTGCAAAAATGGGGTATTTCTTCCATAGTAGTTCTCATTGGCTGTTGTTGATAGAACTATACTTTCAGGCCTGAGTTCAGCCAGAACAACATAGGGCCAATTCTCATCAGTGGAAACTCCCTACCTGACCTCCTTGGCCCAGTCCACTGATTCCTTCCTACCACCCACAGACAGACACATACCAGCAGGAATAAGTATTTTCTCAGGAACAAAAACTATGGCATTCATCTTCCTCAGCCCAGTCAGTGCCTAAGGTTCTGACCCACATGTACTGACACTCAAGGGTAGGGCAGAATCAATCACTCAATGTCAATGGTTAGATATCCTCAGGATACCAGGCCTGGTATGTGCTTCTATACTTGATACATACTTTAAGTGTTTATGGTATTATAAGAAGGGAAGGGGCTGATCAGACCCCCCCCCCCCGATACAGGAAGCTCTCAGGTGTCATCAACTTTGTTGCTCCAGAGAGGTGAGGTGACTAATTTGTAGTCCTGGTATCTGACCCTGTCTGTAGCACTAAACTCTAGGGCTTTTGCCCTGTGGAGCTGCCCATAAGCTTCATATAGGAATGCTCTAGGTTGCTGACAATATTTAGCCAGGAATCTGGGGGGAGTTCCATGAGCCTTTGCTACTAGACAGAGTTTCTGGGGACCAGTGGCATCATTGACTTGGAGTTTTTTGTGCCTAGAGCAAACACTGCAAACCATACTTAGGTGAAGATGCACAGAAAATGCCCTTAGTTAGAAATTAAAGGATAGACTGGTATAAGGTTGCTGCTGATATGGCCTGAAGGAAGAAAGTGAGTTGAAGGGAGAAATTCCCATCTGGATCTAGTATCTTCCTGTTTTCACCAATCATTGCTGACAACTAGGCACTGAGCTTTTTTGTTCTGTTTTTGAAAGCATTCAGTTGCTTTCTGTGACCTTTAACTTTGGCACCTTGGGACAAAACCCCATTTGCTCCACCTTAGTTATGGCTGGGGAAGCCAGGATCTGAGGGCTGGTGATGTTCTGGGTGATGATTGCAGCAGGCTACCCCTCTTTCTTCCCTGCCCATTGTGTCCCCTACCTCCAGATAATGTTTAGATGACCTCTAGGGCAGTCTGCCCAGCTGGCCTCCTCTTCTGTAACAATGAAAGATATTCCGCCTGGCATCTGGAGCTTCAAGGATATTTTATAGACCCATATCAAGTTTTGCTCATGCTCGGAGGCCAGATGCGCTAAGTCTGTTTAACCAAGCTTTACAGCTCTTTCCATTTTTAAAAGAATCATCAGTCAACTTTCCTTAAATAAAATGGCAAAGAATTTGATATGAACATTTAAATCCCCTGCACACAATGAATTTTTAACAATGTAGTATTTTCATGCTGCAATTCTCCTTCTCATCCCTCCTCCCCACACACACAGAACATCTATTTCAATGTCATCTCTGGCTCAGGTTCAAGCAATCTTCTTCAATACAGCCTTGATCTCCTTGTTTGAAAAGCCAGCAACGAGTTCTTCTGAAGACGAGGAAACCACGGTGACCATTAACTGGGCAGAATTGGTATCTGGCTGTCACAAATGCTGTTCAACGTTAGAGCACAGACTTCATAATCAGGAGTGGGTCCGGCGAGGTATGGAATTTGAACCACATCATGACAGAAATCTGCACAATCTGAACTCTGATTTGGTTCCATTTAATTCATCAAGGATGTATCAAGTGCCTACTGTGTCTGAGGCACATGTTAGGTGCTTGGAATATGAGAGAGAGAGAGAGAGAGAGAGAGAGAGAGAGAGAGAGGAGAGAGAGAGAGAGAGACAGAAAGTGACAGAGATGGAGAGTGAGAGAGACAGAGACAGACAGACAGAGAGAGAGAGACAGAGACAGACAGAGAGAGAGAGAGAGAGACAAACAGAGACAGAAAGAGCCAGAGACAGAGACAGAAAGAGAGAGAGACAGAAAGTGACAGAGATGGAGAGTGAGAGAGACAGAGAGAGAGAGAGAGAGAGAGAGAGAGAGAGAGAGAGAGAGAGAGAGAGAGAGAGAGAGAGAGAGAGAGAGGGAGAGAGAGAGGAAGAAAGAGAAAGGAAGGAAAGAAGGAAAAAAAAAGAAAGAAGGAAGGAAGGGTTCCTGTCCTCCCGGAGCCCACATTTTACTTTGGGTATGTTGGGGAGGAGGAAGAAACAAATTTAAGTAAATACAAAACAAATACAAATTACAGATAATTTGTGGGTGTCAGTGGACAACTAACAACTGGGAGGAGGGTCAGGAAAGATTTCTTAGAGAAGATGATACCTGAGCTAGACCTTGAAGGTGGACCACTTTCAAATAAAGCATTTTAGCCCAGAAGGCAGTGTTAATTGCTCCTCAGAATTCACTCTGCATTAGCTCTTTTTCCAGGATTAGGATTACTTCTCTCCTATTTTGTTAGTAACCTTTCTTCTGCATACAATTAATTCTTATGATTTGGACACAGCAAAGAAAGCTGAAGAGGACAAGAGAATTTATCTCGGCATCCATTTAGCATTGACCCAATGCCAACCCTAAGTTACATTGCAAGCTCACTTTAAAAAAAAAAAAAGGAGAACGATTGAATGAGTTCACTGCAAGACTACTCTGCTGGTTTTCTGTTATACCCAGGGAATGCACATTAGTTTCCCCTTCTCCACATACCCCTCCCCACTCCTCCCAAACACTCATTTTTCTTAGTCCTTAATGACTAAGTTCTGTAAACTTTAGAACACTCAGGATCATCTCTAAGTACATTACTAAGATTTCTCTTTTTATATAAAACTTTAACAGATACACCAAACTCTGTAGAAAATCTATTTGTAAATGTATTATTACTTATTTTTCTGATGTGTCTTATGAAAGGCAGCATGGTGTAGTGGATAGCATGGTGGAGTTTGCTAGGAAAACTGCAGTTTACCTGTTATCTCTGATGCTTTGCTAGCTGTGGGCCCCAGGACAAGTCTTTAACTTCTCTACAGGGTAGTTGAAAGGGTCAAATGAGATAATGTGTAGAGAGTACTTTGCAAATGCCAATAATTATCATATTTTAAAAATCTATTTTGCGATTATAGATTTCAAGTTAGAAGGGACTTTTATTCAACTCCTTCATTTTACAGATGACGAAACTGAGGCCCAGAGAGAAGTAATAATAGCTAGCATTTATACAACACTTTAAGGTTTTCTTTAAATACATTATCTTTTTATCCTCACAATAACCCTATAAGGTAGGTGCTATTATTCTCCCCATTTTACAGATGATGTCACTCAGGCTGAGAAGGGTTAAGTAACTTGCCGAGGGTCATACAATTAAGTGTCTGAGGCAGAATTTGAACTCTGGTCTTCCTGACTCCAAGTTCAGCACTCTATTCACTGTGCCACCTAGCTGCCTCATGCAATGACTTGCTTAAGGTCATAAGGCTGCTTAGTAGCAGAGCTGAGACAGGTGCTCTTTCTTCTGCAATTTGGATTATGATCAGCCCTCATTACTTTCACATCTACAATAATGGCCTCATAGACCACCCACAGCTAAGATTAACAGTCAACAACCTGGCTAGCCACATCAATAAACCACATATTCCTTCTCTCTTAATTTGTTCTCTTCCTTTGTCACTGACAGAGGGTGGTAACAGCTGTTGCCTTGTGAGCTAAATTTGCTTCACACAAGGTTTGTGGAATCTGAACTAGCCCTTTAATGTCTGACCCGTGATGTTATGTCTTTCCGTGGGAAATAGTAGGTCTTCCGGTTCTTGTACCAACACAACCCAGTGCACCTCCGCAGTGTTTTTGCTATTGAGCATGGCACATCAGAGAACATGTCCACTGTTATATTAAAGCCAGCGTCAAAACAAAAATAGGCTAATGGGGACACATGGAGCTGTTTAATAAATCAAATAAGATTCTCATATATATATATATAAAATGAGGTCTGCCCATGTCACTCTTCTCAAACATTTGCTCCCCATTGTCTAAAGTCAATCAATCATTAGCTAGTGTTTATTAAGCACCTACTACATGAAAAGATGGTCCCTGCCCTCATGGAGTTCACAGCCTGAGGAGGAAGCAGGGACATAACATGTGACCAACAGTGTGTACACAAACCATGCACAGGATAGATTAGAAGGAAGGCACTAGCATATCTGCCTATAGAAAATAAAATGCGAGCTTCGTAGTCTGTCATTGAAGGCCTTTCAAAACCTGGTTCCTGCTTATTATTTTTGCTTTATTTCATGTTACTGTTTTTCATGAACTCAAGTCAAACTGGCTGATCCCCAGAGTTAATGCGGCATTATCCACCCCTGCCCACTTGTGCAGTTTCCTTATCTGTAACATGAATGCATTAGACTAGATAGGCTCGAAGATCCCTTTCGGCTCTGAAGCTACAATCGCACGATCCTCTGAGTGCCCTCTCTCCTCATCTCGGAATCCCAGCTTTCCTGCCACATTCAGGCGCTGCTCCATCAGTGAAATCTTTCCTCATCTGGGCTGATGCTCCTTCTCTCTCTTCTTACATTTCTCGGTACTCTAGCTACAATATATGCCCAAGGAATCCCCATAGTAAAATGTAAGCTCCCCAGGGGCAGGGGCTAGTTCCTGTTTATCTTTGTATACCCCACCCCAAGCACAATGGATTGCATACAATACATGTTTAATAAATGTTTGTTGATCCTTGAACAGAATGTAAGAATTTTGAAATAAACTTCTAAAGGTCTGCTTGTCACTGTCCAGAATATTGTTGAAATTTAGTGTCTAGGTTGGGACTCTTTCTTTTTAAAGACAGGCAGACAATTTTGAAGGAATGTAGCTAGGTGGTGCAGTGGCTAGAGCACCCAGCCTAGAGTCAAGAAAATTCGTATTCCTGAGTTCAGATTCTTGCTAGCTATGTGACCCTGGGCAAGTCACTTAACTCTGCCTCAGTTTCCTCATCTGTAAAATGAGAGGGAAATGGCAAACCACTGTAGTATATTTGCCAAGAAAATCCCAAATGAGGTCATGAAAAGTCAGACATGACTGAAACCACTGAACAACGGCACAGAGGCAAGACAAAGGCAGCTAAAATGCTTCTTTCGAGAAGACTGAGAAAAAATAACTAGGAATGGAAATTTGAAGACTTAGAATTGGTTAGTCTATAGTGTAGTCATCTGGGCACAGTGAAAGCACCGAAAATGGGTTTAAATCCTGCCTGTGGCATTTACTAGCTGTCTCACATTGAGTAAGTCACTCTTGTTTTTGTGCCTCAGTTTGTTTTTTCCTTTTTTTAATAAATAATTTATTTATTTTAGTTTTCAGCATCCACTTCCATAAGATTTTAGGTTTTACATTTTCTCTCTCTCCCTTTCTTCATCCCTCCCCAAGACAGCGTACAATCTGATGTGGGCTCTACTTACACATTCATATTAAACATATTTTCACATCAGTCGTGATGTAAAGAAGAATTAGAACTAGTGGGAGGAACCACAAGAATGAAGCAATAAAACAACAAAAGAAAAGTACAGAAAATAGTATGCTTCCATCTGCATTCATACTCCTAAGTGTGGATAGCATTTTCCATCATGAGTCTTTTGGAGTTGTCTTAGATCCTTGCATTGCTGAGAAGAGCTAAGTCTATCAAAGTCAGTCATCCCACAGTGTGGCTGTTACTGTGTATAATGTTCTCCTGATTCTGCTCATTTCACTCAGCATGAGTTCATATAAGTCTTTCGAGATTCCAATTCTACTTTCTTCTTCTTTTTTTAATATAATTTATTTATTTTTAGTTTTCAACATTCATTCCCACAAGCTTTTGAATTCCAAATTTTCACCCCATCTCCCCCCTCCCCCCACCCCAAGATGGCATGCATTCTGAATATCCCTTCCCCTAGTCTGTCCTCTCTTCTATCTCTCTCCCCTTCTCTTATCCCCTTCCCCTTCTGTTTTCCTGTAGGGCAGGATAGACTTCTGTACCCCATTTCCTATATTTCTTATTTCCCAGCAGCATGTGAAAACATTTTTTTAAATGTATGTTTTTAAAACTTTAGGTTTCAAATTTTCTGTCTTCCTCCCTCACCACCCACCCTCATTGAAAAGCCAAGCAACTCAATATAGGTTGTACATGTGCAGTTATGCAAAACACTTCCATAGTAGACATATTGTGAAAAACTAACTCTATTTCCCTTAATCCTATCCTGCCCTCCCATTTATTCTATTCTTTCTTTTGACCCTGTCCCTCTTCAGAAGTATTTACTTCTGATTACCCCCTTTCCCAATCTGCCCTCCTCTCTATCATCCCCCTGCTCTCTTGTCCCCTTCTCCCCCTATTTTCCTGTAGGGTGAGACATTTCCATACCCAACTGAATGTGTATGTTATTCCCTCCTTAAGCCAAATCCTATGAGAATAAGATTCACTCATTCCCTCTCTCCTTCCCTCCACTGTAAGAGACTTTTCTTTTCTGTTTTTTTTTGTGAGATAATTTACCCCATTCTACCTCTCCCTTTCTTCTTCTCCAAGTATAATCCTCTCTCATCCCTTAATTTTATTCTCCAGATATGACCCCTTAATCTTCAACTCACCCTGTGCCCTCTATCTATCTACATATACATACATATAATTTTTTTCCTCCAACTACCCTAATACTGACAAAGGTC